GATTCTCATGATTCATAGATTCCATATTTGCAAATTCACTTAGTAGCTAAAATTTATATGTAAACCCCTTCCCCACACATACACAAATCAATACTTGCAGTGCCTCTGAGGCCATCTGAAGCCTGCACGTGCCATGTGCCTGGAGTGGGGAAATCCCAGTCACCTTGTGCTGGAGTCCCTGGCTGAGACCCAGCAAAGGCGTTCTCTCCGCCCTCCTTTCTGCTAGTCTACTGCAAACAAGTGTCCTTTTCTTGGTCTGTTTAGCACCACATTTTTGGAATTTTTTGCTTTTTTTGGTGGCGATTTTGCTTTATTTTATTTTATCTTATTTTGAGATGGAGTTTTGCTCTTGTTGCCCAGGCTGGAGTGCAATGGCGCGATCTCAGCTCATTGCAACCTCCACCTCCTGGGTTCAAGTGATTCTCCTGCCTCAGCCTCCCGAGTAGCTGGGATTACAGGCGCAAGCCACCACGCCCAGCTAATTTTTGTATTTTAAGTAGAGACGGGGGGTTTCACCATGTTGGCCAGACTGGTCTCAAACTAGCAACCTTGGGTGATCCACTTGCCTTGGCCTCCCAAAGTGCTGGGATTACAGGCACGAGCCATCGCACCGGGCCGATTTTGCATTTTTAAATGGCCCCTCACACATAAGATTAAAGTATTATCTAGTATTCCTCAGTGTAAAAGGCTGTGCGCTGCCTTAAGGAGAAAATACATGTTAGATGTGCTTTATTCAGGCATGAGTTATATGCTGTCGTCTGTGGGCTTGATATCACTGGGCTGGGGAGGTGCCCAAGAGCAGGTGGGTCCTTGATCCCAGGCTTTTGACATCATTTCAAAAAGGAATTCAAGGATCAGTCAGAAAATAGTGAAAGTACAGAGATTTATTACAAAGTAAAAAGTTCATACTCAAGACAGAGGACCGCGGGCCTACTCAAGAGAGAGTCTAGCAATGGTTTGGGGTTTCTACCTTCATGGGTTTCTTTAATCAAGATGTGGAATATTCATGAAAATTCCTGGGACAAGGTGAATACTTCTTGGAACGGCGGTGTCACCATTTTTGTGCCAAATATGAGTGTTCCTGGAACTGTCGTGGTGCCGGTGGTTGCGTGTTTAGTATGTTAATGAGCACATAATCAGGTCCTAGGGGAAGCCTAGGTCAAACCCAGCGCCATGTTGGGTCCAGCCAGTCTTAGCCAGCTTGGTTCATAACTTGGTTTTTCAGGGTCTTAGCAGACCATAGCCTCTAGCCATGTGAAACTGCTGCCTGGAATTTAATTCTCCTGTGACCACCCTGTATTATTCCTGTCTCATTTTCAATGTTAACGAGTCAGTAACAGACATCAAATAAGGCTTCTTTTTGTTTGTTTTTGGTTTGATTTGTTCGAGATGGAATCTCGCTTTGTTGCCCAGGCTGGAGCACAATGGCACGATCTTGGCTCACTGCAGCCTCCACCTCCCAGGTTCAAGCGATTCTCCTGCTTCAGCCTCCCAAGTAGCTGGGACTATAGGTGTGTGCCACCACGGCTGGCTAATTTTTGTATTTTTAGTGGAGATGGGGTTCAGTCATGTTGGCCAGGCTGGTCTTGAACTCCTGACCTCAGATGATCCACCCGCCTCAGCCTCCCAAAGTGGTGGAATTACAGGCGTGCGCCACAGCATCTGGCCTCAATAAGGCATCTTTAAACAGAAACACACACAAAAAAACAAAGTAATGTATTGATCGGTTGATAAAAATGTGACCAGAGGCTCACAGGAACCTAACCCTGTATCCTCCCTAGGAGCTGTGGTTTCTAAGGACCAGTATTCACTGCCTGTGTACTGGGTGACTTTATTCAACATAACTATGGCAAATACCAGAATTGACTATGACAAAACTGAGGTACAGAGCCTAAGCCTCATGTTTGTCACTCAGCAAAAAAGTGAAGGAGCCAGGATTTGAAGTTAGGCAGTGTCATTCTAGAGCCCTAATTTTCTTTTCTTTTTTTTTTTTTTTTTTTGAGACGGAGTAGTCTTGCTCTGTCACCAGGCTGGAGTGCAGTGGTGTAATCTCGGCTCACTGCAACCTCCGCCTCCTGGGGTCAAGCGATTCCCCTGCCTCAGCCTCCCGAGTAGTTGGGATTACAGACACATGCCACCATGCCCAGATAAATTTTTGTATTTTAGTAGAGATGAGGTTTCACTATGTTGGCCAGGATGGTCTCGATCTCCTGATCCACCCACCTTGGCCTCCCAAAGTGCTGGGATTACAGGGGTGAGCCACGTCACCCAGCCTCCACAACCCTAACTTTCAAATGTGGTCTCTAGCAAGGTCTTACACTCCATTAACATTGTAAATTCAACTCTGAATAGCGGAGCCGTCTCAGCCTCCCAAATAGCTGGGACTACAGGCACATGCTGAGTTCATTCAGCTATTTCTGCACAGAAAGCACCTGCAATGATCTGTACCCCAAGACAAAAAGTGTAGGCTATAAGTGTCACTCGCTATTTTATCCACAGGCCTCAGAAGCAGCTGGTCTGTTAGGTTTTACTCTCCATAACTTAACTCCACAGAACAGTTACTCAGTTCCCAGAACTGTGCCTTCGATGGACACTAGGTTCCAGGTGACCCCAAAGATGCTATCAGAGAATATGACTTTCCCATGGGAGAGGCTGAGTTTCCCTGTATGTTGGACCATCTCGGCCGGATATTTCTGTTGTCAGAAACCCATCAGTAACACTCTAGACTGGAGATCAGCAAATATTTTCTGTGAAGGGGCAGAGAGTAAATATTTTAGGACTCGTGAGCCGTATAATCTGCTACAACTAGTCGACTGTGCCCTTTCATCAAAAAGGCAGCCACAGACAGTACCTAATGAAGAGGCATGAGTCTGTTTCAATAGATCTTTATTTATGAAAGCAGATGGAGGGCCAGCTGCCCAGCTGCTCTAGAGAAAAGGAGGGGCTGTGTCTTATCTTTTTAATTTCAGCCCCAGCAGTAAAAATTGTCCCTATGGCCCAGCGTAGTGGCTCACACCTGTAATTCCAACACTTTGGGAGGTTGAGGCAGATGGATCACGAGGTCAGGAGTTCAAAACCAGCCTGTCCAATATGGTGAAACCCCAGTGAGGCTCTATCTCAAAAAGAAAAGTCCCTATGTTGCCAAAGAGGAAATGAAAACACAGAGAGCCACAGTCATTTTTTTTTTTTTTTTTTTTTTTTTTTTTTTTTTTTTTTNTTTCAGAGTCGCTCTGTCGCCTAGGCTGGAGTGCAGCCTCACCCTCTCGGGTTCAAGCAATTCTCCTTCCTCAGCCTCCCAAGCAGCTGGGACTACAGGCGCACGCCGCCATGCCGGGCTAACGTTCTGTATTTTAGTAGAGACGGGGTCCAGAGCTCAGACAATCCGCCCGCCTCGGCCTCCCAAAGTGCTAGGACTACAGGCGTGAGCCACCGCGCCCGGCCTGCAAAGCCTATTTCTAACTAAAGTCAGGTCCCACGCGCTTCCCTCTACGTTGCGTTTTGCTCCTGTTATCCCAGGTCTTACAATCACAGAGCACTTGATGAGACCGTTTCCGCGTCCGTAAAATGGGGCGAAGTTCTTCACTGTGCTATTGCAGCATTAAGCCACTGGACCTGAAGGCACGGGCGTGGCACGCTGCGGGTGCACAGAAACGCTCGCTGCCACCCTAACTCTAACTATCTGGCACCCCAGCGCCCCGCCAGGGGCTGGAGAAACCAGGGAGGTAGCGGAGGAACGCGAAGGGCGTGTGCCCGCGAAAGGTCTCAACAGGCGTTTCGAGGTCGCCTCTTCAGGCTCGGCCGCCGACGAGGTGCGTCTGAGCTCACCCTGCCCAACCCGGGCATTCTGGGACCCCAAGACCGCAGCGGGCACAGCTGGGCAGCCGAGCCCCGGGAACGCCCACTTCCGCCACAGATCTGCTCAAAATAGCTCTTTCCGGCGGCTCGTATTCGGTGGCCCAAGCCGGCCCCGGGGAGGCGGGGCCTGAGCGCAGACACGCCCCGCCCCCTTCCGTCTCGCCTGCGTTCGCCACAGGCTCCGCCGCAGCCGCTCCCCGCCCCGGCCAGGCCGTCAGCCCTGCCCCTCGTGACGTCATTTCCGGAGCTTGGGCGGAGCCCGGGCAGGGCGCGCTGCCTGGAGCTGCCTGGGCTGAGCTGCGAGCCACGTCTCCGCGCCCGGTCTCGGGCTCCTTCCTACCGTTTGAGGGCCGCCAGGGGCCGCGGGCCTACCGCGCCCGGGTAAGGAGCTCGCGCTGCCGCCCGGGGAGCTGCTGTCAGGGCTCCCTGACCGGCTTGGGACTGAGAGACAGAGGTGGGGGGCAGGAGGAAGGTTGGATGGGGCACGAGGGGCAGGGAGAGAGTGAGTGGGGCTGAGAGAGGCAGGGGGAGCGGCGGAGGGGCACGCACGGAGTCCAAGACGCGGAGGAATTTGGGTGAGGAGAGTGAGGAGAGAGGAGGAAACGGAAGGAGTCAACGGGGTGCCGAGCATGACTGGGGGGCGCAAGAGGCAGGAGGAGGGAGGAGGGCTGGAGGGGGTCCGCGACTGGAGAAGAGGCCCCCTTGTCCCATTTTGGAAGCAGAATGGGGACACTCGTATGGGGGGCGCATTTCCCTGGGGTCTTTTCCTGGACAAGTCCAGGCCGGGACTGGACCCCAAGAAGTGGTGCCCTTAGAGAGTTGAGTGACCCGGACCTATCCCGCAGACCCTCTCTCTACCTGGGTGGAGGTTGCGCATTCTCCCAAATTCCCTCCCCTGCCCATCTGTCTCCTTGCCAGCTTCTCCCTTTCGAGTCACTTAGTAGCCCCCATGTGGTTGCTTAGGATGTGCACGTAACCTTTAGGCTGATAGGAGGATCGGCCTCCTCATGCGTGGTTTGCCACAAGAAATAATCATCGTGCTTCGAAATCTGATTTTAACAACTTGCAGCTATCCATTGTTCCAGGAAAATCTCTAAAATTTTAATAAAATCAGAAAGGAAAATATTTAAAATACAAATGTTTCCATTTATAAAGCGGATCTGCCTAATGGACAAAGGAATGTCAGAGCTACCCACGTTAATCAGCAAAAACTAGGCCCTAGCATTCAGCTGTGATACCGAAACTCCCAGGAACCTGGAAGCAGGCAATGTAGTTAATGTAATGTAATAAATATCCAATGATCCAGGTTCCCATCTGCCACGGAGTCACATCCTTTGAACTACAGGACAATGTCTATATACACAAAGCCATAGGTCTGTGTTCCTTGGGCTTCTGCTACCAAAGTTCAGCGAGGTGACACGTCAGGGTTAGGTGCCTTCGGTTTGCCCTGTATTTGTTTTTGCAGTTCCTACTCCTTGGTATCTGTAGCTTGCCTAACTTGGAGTGGGGACCTGGCCATGTTGCTGCTGAGTGAGTCTTAATATATTGCCTGATAGAATGTGGGGGTAACTGCTGTGGTCCTTTACCAAGCTTCAGGATTACTTGTGTTGGGTCTTTGGAACCTCTCTATGCCAGAAAAAGGAATTAAGCTATTTCTTTTCCTTTTTTATTTTTTTAAGAGATGGGGTCTCACTGTGTTGCCCAGGCTGAACTCAAACTTCTGGCCTCAAGCAGTCCTCCCACCTCAACCCCTTGAGTATCTGGGATTACAGTCATGCAGCACCATGCCTGGAGTCCAGTTGTGTGTAACTTGCATAAATTGCCCTACGTATAACAAGCCAAGGTTGAGAACACAAGAATTCAGACCAGATGCCTTGGGAGGCATCTCAAGATCACAAACCAGAAAAGGATAGGGAGGTTGACACACGGGGGCACAGTCTGGGGTGCCTTTCTCATGGAGTGTCACCTGCCTCAAGGGAGTGTCACCTGCCTCAAGGGAGTGCCCTGCGGCACCTTCCTTGCAGATCCTATGGGGAGCTGATCCCTGAAGAAGGGAACGCCCAATGCCAGCCTAACCTTCCATCTCTCCAACTTAATACAAACTTCATTCTCTCTTGCTCATTCCCCTGTTGCCCCTGGGGTCTCTTTCTCCATTTGTTGTGGTCTGAGACCTTGATCTACCCAGTCTCCTGGTACCAGATAATAATGAGAATAACTGGGTGGATCCCGAGACCCCCCTCCACCCTAATTTTGGCCTGAAGTCCTTGCAGGGGAAACAGATATTTTAAATGTTGTTAATGGTTGTCCATCGTGAGTCAACTTATAAAGATGACCACAGGTCCCAACATGGGATCTTGACATTTAGAATATTCGGTTGGAAAGTGGAGCCAGGACCATGGCAGAGGCATGAAATCACAGTACAACGAAGGTATGTTCGTGACTACACAGTGGCCAATTCCTGCTTCTGTGGGAGTGACCACCAGCCCTACTGCCTGGGAGGGAGGAAGTGATGACGGGATCCAGCAGAAGTTTCCTGAGAAACCCGTGGAGTGTCCTGAGATAGCGTTGAGAACGTGCTCTGCGTGTGTGCTCTCATGTTTGTGTGTGTGATTTTGTGTATGTGTGTGCACATGTGACTGCATACATGTGGCATCTGTACATGTGCAGATGGACATGCATGGAGCTGTATGCACACAAGTGTGTGTGACTGAGTGCATGTGTGTGGCTCTGTGTGCACACGTGGGCATCTGTGTTGGGAGCAGGCCCATGGTGGTCCTTGATGTCACCACCTACTGATACCTGCCCATGATAGGAGGTGACGAGCTGTTTCTGTTATCTCCTGAGTTCTCCTTAAATATTCATCAATGACAGAATAATTCATGCTGGTGAACGTCTTTGCATTATGGCTGTATGTCTGGATTCCTCTAAAGCTTTGGTTAGCTCCAAGGAAAATGTCCCTCCTGGTATACAGATCATGTAGTCTCTAAGTTATCGAAATCAATGTGTGACACTGTATCAGGTGGGATAACTCTGTGGCTTTCTGCCTAGTGGCTTAAGATACTTGAAGAAAATAAGCTGTTTTCTTTCCTCGGAGCCTTTCGGAAATGTTTTCCAAAAGTGATACATGCTTGTTAAAAAAAAAAGATATGAAGTAGAGAATAAAAATCACGGGTGAATCCATTCCCCAGGGATAATCATTAACGTTATAGTTCAAATCATTCCAGACCCTTGAATAAATGTCTGTTTTAACAAAATAGGATCGTGGTGCACCTGCTTCTGTGTAACCTGCCTTGTTCATTTATTGATGCATGCTGTAGCTTCCCATGTCAATAAGTAGAAATGTATGTATTTTTAACAGTTGCCTTAGCATTTTATCTATCAATGGAGCCATACTTTACAAAACTATTCTAGTGTTTTACTCTTTCTAAATAATGCTGTGAGAATTATCTTTGTAAATCATCTTTGGACATCTGTCTGAGTGCCTCCTTAGAAGAAACTGCAGTAGAAGTTGCTGCATCAGAAATTTTTGTTTGTTTGTTTGTTTGTTTGTTTGAGACAGAGTTTCACTCTTGTCGCCCAGGCTAGAGTGCAACGGCGCAATCTTGGCTCACTGCAACCTCCGCCTCCTGGGTTCAAGCAGTTCTCCTGCATCAGAAGTTTTGACATTGAAAGCTTTGATCCATGTTGTTTTCCCAGTATAATGAATGACGTATTGAATGCTGCTCTTTCTGTGCCTCCCTCCTCATGGAATTTCTCCCTATGCCTTTCCTAAGAAATGTGGACTTTTTTTTCAATCCCTAGATGCGTCTGTTCCCAGAGCGGAGAGTCTACCTTCATCTCACATGTGCCACAAAGGATGGCATGGCCCAGGAGTGCCCCACCACGTGGTTTTCACCCCCTGCAAAGCCAGATCTCGCCCGACAACACAGTGCCAAGCCCACAGCTCTCCAAAGAGAAAGATGGCCCAGGCTGGGAGCATGCCCTTAGCAGCGGCCTCTGGTGAGTGTCTAGGCCCTTCAGGCTGGGCCTGCCTGTTGGGTGATGGGACAGTGAGCCCAGAGGGAGCTTTGCAGGGTCACCAGAGGGTCAAGGGAAAAGGAAAGACAGCCAAGCCTTATTGTAACCAAGGGAGACTCAGTCTGTTGCCCTTAATTGTCAGAGGCCCTGCCTCCCCCCACCTTTTTTTTTTTTTTTTTATTTTTTGAGACAAGATCTGGTTCTGTTGTCCAGGCTGGAGTGCAGTGGTGCAATCTTGGCTTACTACAACTTCTGTCTCTGAGGTTCAAGCCATCCTCCCAACCTCAGCCTCTCGAGTAGCTAGGACTACACATACACACCACCACGCCCGGCCAATTTCTGTGTTTTCTGTAGAGATGGGGTTTTGCCATGTTGCCCCGGCTGGTCTCTGACTTGTGAGCTCAACCCATCCTCTGCCTCGGCCTCCCAGAGTGCTAGTATGAGGCATGAGTCATTGCGTCTGGCCAGGTGGCCTTGTCTTCTGAGTGGACTGGGGTGGTGGCCCATGGACAGCATGGGGATCACGCGATCCCCTGCGACCCTCTTCGGCTTTGTGACACAAATGCAAGTTACCTCGGAAGGTTGTCCCTGACCTCGGTGATGCCGTGGCACTCACAGCAGCCTCCTCTGTGCTGCGGGGAGGCTGCGCCTCACTGATGCAGAATGGTGGAGGGGTGCCTCTTAGCAGAAGATGACGAGGGGCTGTCCCGCCCAGGAAGGAGAAGGTCCTTGTCTGTTTTAAGGCAAGGAACTGGACAGGAAGACGGGAAGGAGGAGGTTCATTCAGTAGATTGAGTCTGATCCTCCCTGCTGTAGCTGGAACACTAGCTGTGAAGCTGGCTGAAGTGCTAAAGCAGGGGCTGGCAAGTTGTGACCAAATCCTACCTACTGCCTGTTTGTGTAAAGTTTTATTGGGACACAGCCATGCCACCATTCATATCTATTTCAGGGCTGCCTCTGTACCATAATAGCAGAATTGAGTAGCAAAAACACAGACCGAACGGCCCACAAAGTCTCAAATATTTGCCATCCTGTTCTATGTAGAGAAAGTGTGCTGACCCCTGTCCTAGAGATTTGTAGTGAGGGGGCAGCAAAAGGCCCAGGCCTGGGGTACATTCAGGAGCCAAGACCCTCCTCACCCATAAGGAGCCCCTGCCATATTGTCTCACCTTTAACTCACCCAGAGGACGTCAAATCCTGGGCTCAGGCCTGGGCAACATCTGGAACCCAGGCCCATAGCATTTTAAAGGTGTTCAGTAGATGTTGCTAGCCCAAGAGAGAGCCGTTTAAATATGCGTGTTTACCAGAAGCCCAGCTGCACTGCCTTGCCCATGGAGGATTGTGAGTTCTTTGTGCCCGAAACCTTCCAGTTTCAGTTCTGCCCTGCGTGATGTTGGTCAGTTTCTTTTCTCCCCATCCCCCCCAGCTTTTTTTCTGTCAGAACAAAGAATGCTTTTTGCACTCTAGATCTGTGGTTCATAAGACCAAGTAATTTTTCTAAACCCATAACCCATCAGGAACCCTTACAGACCATTTTGAAGAGAAAGCACCATTTGAAGCTAGAAAAAAGTTAGTGACTCTTGAAAACAGACTGGAAGTCTCATGGAACACACCAGCCTTCCAGAGAAGTGTGTGCTCAAAGGCCTCTCCCCAGCCCTGGGGCAGCTTCACAGCGGTCCCGTGGATTACGGGAGGCAGAAAGCCACCCGGGGGCTTTTTGTTGCAGAGTTGCTGCTTTTGCAGCTAGAAGTGCTTCTTGGGTGGGCCGCTGACTAAGCCAGGCGCCATACTAGGTCCTTGCCCGAATGATCCCATGTCACTCCCATGCGGCTCAGCAGGGCTCAGAGGTCCTGTGGCTGCACACGTCACTTGGTTAGTGAGCTTGGAAGCTAGGGTTGGAACCCAGGCAGTGCTGTTGGCTGCTGCCTGTACTGCTGGTCTCCCAGTCCCCTGCGTGGTCCCTTGTCCCTGTTGTTGTAGCTTCCTCAAGGGAACAGCAGTGAACGCTGAAAGAGCTAAAAGGCAGCTCCTGCCAGTCATGCACTCAGTGGCCCCTTCATCCCTGAGTGACCAATGGGCAGCTCGCCCAGCACCCCCAAGACCCAGTCTGCCTGCCCCTGTGCAGCTGGGGCCCCACCTTGCTGTGGGCTGCTGCCAAGGGCTGCTTTCCTCGTGACTGTTTTCATTATTTTATCTAAAATAATGAATCAATCAAACCAAATCATTTTTTTTTTTAATATGTTAAGGGCCAGGCGCAGTAGCTCATGCCTGTAATCCCAACACTTTGGAGGCCAAGGTGGGAAGATTGCTTTAGCTGAGAAGGTGGAGACCACCCTGGGCAACATAGAGAGAACCCTGTCTCTACCAAAAAACAAACAAACAAACAGAAGGTATAGCCAGGTGTGGTGGCATGCGCCTCTGATCCCAGCTGAGGTGGGAGGATCACTGGAGCCCGGGAGGTCAAAACTGTAGTGAGGTACGGTCTTACCACTGCTCTCCAGCCTGGGCAGCAGAGCGAGACCCATCTCAAAAAACTGAAATAAAAATGTGTTAAGGCTTCTGCATCACTTCTGTGGAGCATTAGAATGAAGGAGAGGGCTTTGCTTTATGGCAATTTGGGGCGGCTGTGGAGACCACTGCAGTCTTCGAAGAGGGGAAGTCTCTCATTCTCATTCACTCACGCTTTCATTCACTGAGAGACACCCTCTGTGTTAGGTGCCTGGACTGCTGCCCCTCACTGGCTGCCCTGCCTCCCCGCTTGCCAAAAGCACCTTCCTGTTCTTGCCTAAGGCCCTGTAGGGACTCCAATCCTCCTACCGTGAAATCCAAACTGCCAGGTGGCTCCTGGGAGCTCCTAGCACTCTCCAGACTAATCCCCATCTCACCACGCTCTCCCTTGCCTCTGACCCTGCTGTCGTCATCTGCTGCTCCCTCTCCACCTGCCCGCCCACCTCCACCAGGTGGATCCCCACCCAGCTTTCAGGACACAGCCCAGGTGTCACTTTCCAGGAAGCCTTCCTTGTCATGCCCACCACACCACCACTGGCTGAACTGTGTCCTCTGGGCCCCTGTGGCACCCTGTCCTCTGGGGCCCAGCCATCCTTGGGGCCTCTGTCCACATGCTGTCTCCTCCCTGCTTCCCATCACTGAGTCACACTCTGTGCAATGCATGTGCCAGCCTGCAGTCACCTTTTTTCTCCAGGACTGCAGGTCCCTGGAGAAGAGGTTGTGTGTTTTTCATCTTTTTGTCCTAAGTGTACTGCCTGGCACATGAGTAAACACTCAGTAAACATTGGATGAAAGGATGGATGGATGGGTGGGCAGGTAGATGGATGGATGGGTGGGCAGATGGATGGATGGATGGGTGGGTGGGTGGATCAATGGGTGGATGGATGGATGGATGGATGGACTTAATGGATGGACAGATGAGTAGATGGATAGAAAAGTGGATAGATGGGTGGGTGGGTGAGTGGGTGGATAGATGGACTTATGTAGGGACAGATGAGTAAATGGATAGAATAGTGGGTGGACGGATGGATGGATGGCCAAATAGTATCTCCCAGGTGAAAGGCACAATCACCTCTCACAGGGTGCACATGTGGTGCATTAGGCTTGATTTGTAATCTGCAGACCATAGGAGAAGTTGAGGAGGAAGACTTGACCAGTCTTGGTGATGAGAAGGCCTTCACCCTATGAACACAGCCAAGTCTTAGCCCTCTCTCCTGCTCTTTTAAACACTGAACTCTAGGATGGGAGAATGGGAACTTTTGCAGGTTGAGACTCAGTGAAATCGGGTCAAGAAGTGATCAGGTGCAAAGCACAGGGCAGATCATGACTGCACCATGCCTGAGGTCTTCCTGGCACCAAGCCCTGGTCTCAGCACTTGGCTCAGTCTGCACCTTGGACCCTGCCAGAGCCTCCACAGCAGGTGTTCTCAGGCAAGGCTGTGTGTTGCTGGCCAGAAGCCTTCTGACCAGCATGCTTTCTTGACCACAGATCCCTTGGCCAAGCAGGAGGGAACCATTAGCAGCCTGAGGAGCTGGCTGGCTGGGAGCCTCAGGGACTGCCCAGCCTTGCTTCCAGCTCACCCGCAAGATGTGGACAGCGCTTGTGCTCATTTGGATTTTCTCCTTGTCCTTATCTGAAAGCCATGCGGCATCCAACGATCCACGTAAGTGAGAAAGCTGTGTGACTGCTGGACGGGCCCACGGTAGCCACAAAGCATGCTGAGCCCATGAAAGCAGTGTCTGTAAACCCAGGCCAACGCGTCAGGAACCCCAGCCCTCCCAGGTGCTGGGCAGGGAAGGGTTGTCAGGCCAAACTTCCTTCTCCAGGGCCATGGTGGGCAAGGAGCCCCCCAGCAGGACCAGGCAGCTGAGCCCTGAAAGGTTTGCTTGCTTGGCCTGCAAGATTTGATGTCATCTCTAAATTGAATCTTCACTGGGGAGTTGGTTTCTTCATACATCAGATGTTTAGCTGCGTTCCCACTCTGTGCCATTCATTTCCAAGAATTCCTGCAGTGAATCCTTTCACAAAGCCAAACATCCTTTTATGATGTGAATATCTGTGTGACAATTTCTTTGCTTTGTAAACCTGGTGTGCGTTCAGTGGGCCTTTAGTGGTAAATCATACCTGTTGTGTGAGACTTTTACTTTGATGTTTTGGGCATTGGATCAAATAGTGTAGCTCTGAAGCCTTCAACGGGCAGGGGGTTCAGAGAGGGCAAAGAAGCTTTAAAATCATATTGACAAGGGCTTTTTCAATGGGCTGCATGCCAACCATGGGAAGAAAGATGGGGAGGAAGCACATTCATGCGTCACCTCCCCTGACTCCAGCTGGGCTGAGGAGGGGGCTCCACAGAGCCAGCCTGCGGGGCGGGGTGGAAGCTGATCCCCAAGCAATCCCCCTGCGCATGATTGAACATGATTCTCTCTCTTTTTCTCTTTTTTCTGACTTTAAGGCAACTTTGTCCCTAACAAGATGTTACATGGATTAGTGAAGAGGAATGCATCTGTGGAAACAGTTGATAATAAAACGTCTATGGATATAACCATGGCAGCACCTTCTCCTGTCACGTTGACCACAGGGACTTCCACAGCCCACCTCAACTCTATAGAAACCACACCAGAGGACACAAGCAGGACAGATGTGGGTGAACCAGCAACTTCAGGAGGTGCAGCTGATGGTGCGGCCTCCAGCGCTCCCACGACTGCGGCTTCCAGCACTTCCAGGTCTGTGGCCTCCAGCGCTCCCACGACACTCACACCGCCTGGGCCCATGTCCCTGTTCACAGGGCAGACCCCATCTACTACCGCTGCTGGGCGCCCATCTCTCAGCACAGCCCTCATACAAGTGCCAAGTAACAGCTCGTCGCCCAGAGCAGCAGTCCTGGCCACATTGGCCACGCGTGCTCAGACTGTAGTGACCAGAGCAAACACGAGCAGCCCCATGAGCACTCCCAGTCCTTCCGAGTACATGACCGGTGACACCACGGCAAGCCCTACACCCCCTACACATCCCCAAGCACAAGTTCCCACTCGCCAGGTGTCAGTGGACCAGCCCATGGTTAACACAACAGATAGATCCACACCGCCCTCAAACACAACTCTGGAGCCCACTACCACCCACTCTGTGGCTTTGGTGTCCCCCGTAGTGGTGACCACCCCCAAGCCACAAGCCAAGGAGTCAACTACCAGCACAGTGCCAGCACCTCACATTAGCCCAGTCCCTAAGGTGGAGGCCACGTCCCTCACAACACAGCCAAGCCCCACACCATCTACCCCAAGGGCCACTGGGCCACGGACACCCCAGGCACCGGAGCAGGTAGAGACTAAAGCCCCACCAGGTACTGACTCCACTGCACCAACACCCAGGAGCTCAGGGGACCCTAAGATGCCAGCCACGGACTCATGCCAGCCCAGCACCCAAGGCCAGTACCTGGTGGTCACTACCGAGCCCCTCACCCAGGCCGTGGTGGACAAAACGTTCCTCCTGGTGGTGCTCTTACTCGGGGTGGCCCTTTTCATCACAGTTTTGGTTTTGTTTGCCCTGCAAGCCTATGAGAGCTACAAGAAGAAGGACTACACCCAGGTGGACTACTTAATCAACGGGATGTACGCAGATTCCGAAATGTGAGGGCGGCGGGGCCTGGCGGGAGGCGGGCCCCTTCCTCGTCCTTTCCTTTTGCCTTTGAGACCAAACCAAGTGCTTCCAAATTCTTTTGGTGCAATTTAGGAGATATGCCAGATGCTTAAACACATTTCATTGCTGTCAGATAATTCCATGATCACTAAAGAGTTGCTGCTTTTTTCATATTTATTTTTGTAAATGATCCTGTGCGCAGCAGCAGCTAGGGGTTCCACCTCAGGGTGGGGTGGGCAGAGCCCTGTGCCCCCAGGTGTCAGAGCCTGACCTGATTAAAGGACTGACTGCTCTCCGCAATCGTGTGGGTGCATCCTCTCCTCGGGGAAGCTTTCTGCCATGCACATGGCGGGGTTTTCTGTAAACATGCAACATCACTCGGCACCCTAGAGGTGCCACACCCTAGAGTGTCCTGGCCACTGTCTTGGGCTTCTTCCTGGTATCCACCCTCACGCCGGTGCTTGCTGGGAGGCTCCTGGGCTCCAGAAGAGGACACAGCCGGCATCTTTAATCCTTTCTGACATGTTCGGTGATGAGCCACCTGGAGCCGGCTTTGGGGGTGAGGGAGCTGAATTCAATGCATCACCCCCATGGTGTGGCCAGCTCCACCTGAGCCTGTGCAGAATAGAATTCGTGATCCTGCCCCACTCGTGAGGTGGGGTCATTATCGTTAGTCCTGAATAGGCCAAGTCCCTTGCTCCAGGTCACCTGGAACCCCAGGGGCAGGCCTGGGATTCCACCCCAGAGCCCACTCCAGGACAATTCCCCTGGATTCCAGACTCCCCATCCTGAACAGCAGCCAGAGTCAGCACTTGCTCTGTGCTTGTGACGTGCCTGCCCTGTCTCTGTGCTGTGTGTGTGTAACCTGCTGCATGTGACCTGCTGTGTGAGTGTAACCCACTGCGTGTGTATAGCCCGCTGTGCATGTAACCTGCTGCATGAGTGTAACCTGTTGTGTGTGTAACGCACTGCACATGTGTGACCTGCTCTGTGTGTGTGTGTGTGTGTGTAACCACTGCGTGAGTATAACCTGCTGCACATGTGTGACTGCCACATTGCCTCAGCCCCAGGAGATCAGCATGACAATCTCCATTTTGAAGATGGGACCACTGAGGCATCAAGCAAAGTCACCCCCAGAGGGCCAGAGTCAGGATTGAACCCTGGTCCTAGAGTCCCAGCTCTTTGTGTAACTAGGTTTCTTTACCACCTGCCCAGCCTGAGCTTGGCCTTCCATCCTTCATCTACCTACCTGCCCAAGGCAACAAGAGCTGATGGGCCACACATGGCCAGGGCATCCTGTAAGGCCATGTTCTCAGGCCAGGTCTGCAGCTGCTGAGATCTGGAGCAAGCGATAGAATGTTCTGAGCTCAGCCTCTTCCTCTGGGAAATGGGGAGAGACAGAGCAGCATGTGTTCTAAACATGGCAGTGCAGGGCCCCGCCCAAAAAGGGTCACAGAGTTGGCTGTGGCTTCTCAACCACCTGGCGCTGAGGGAGAGCCAGTCTTTGTCCGGAATCTCTAGTCCCCCGCTCACTGAGATTGTCCTGGGCTGGGGCTGGGTGTCCAGCTTCTCATGTGAATTCACCCGCTCCAATAAGGATGTCAAAGGCTAAGACAGTAAACTCCCAAACCATTTCAAATCACTTCAAAACCGAGGTTAGAGAAATACCAAGGGCCTCTGCTGGGCACCTCTACATCCAGGGAATATGCCACAAGGATTCACAGAGTCAGCCAGTTTCCCCACCCGCCAGGGCCCCAATTCTTTTTTATTTTTTTCTTTTTTTTTGACAGAATCATGCTCTATTGCCCAGGCTGGAGTGCAGTGATGCGATCTCAGCTCAGTGTAGCCTCTGCCTCCTGGGTTCAAATGATTCTGCTTCAGCCTCCTGAGTGGCTGGGATTACAGGCACACACCACCATGCCTGGCTAATTTTTGTATTTTTAGTAGAGACAGGATTTTGCCTTGTTGGCCAGGCTGGTCTCAAACTCCTGACTTCAGGTGATCCACCTGCCTCAGCCTCCCAAAGTGCTGGGATTTCAGGTGTGACCCCACCTCCATCCTTGGGGGTCCTATTCCAAACCCTCTGCCATTGTTCTCTCTTGGACAGTGTTCCTCTTGGACCGCAGGTGCCTCAAACTCAGCATCCAAGGCCGAGCTCAGCATCAGCCCTCAGGAGTGTGTTTGGCCCCAGGGGTCCTCCGTGTACCTAATGGCATCCCCACGTGGGCTACCAGAAAATGCTTCCCCCTGAGTCCAATCAACCATCCTTAAGGTTCCTGTACTCTGGCCGCTTCACCTGTCCTGACCCCAAATTTCTGCTCTTCTCTCTCTGACCTGTGCCCTTGGCCTCTTGGCCTCCATAGCCGTGACCTTCGCCACCCAGGGCAAGGCATTGCTGGCTGCCTGCACTTTTGGGAGCTCTGAACTACTGGCCCTCGCACCTGACTGTCCCTTCGACCCCACACGCATTTATAGTTCCAGCCTGTGCCTCTGGGGCATTGCCCTAGTGCTCTGCGTGGCGGAGAACGTGTTTGCTGTGCGCTGTGCTCAGCTCACCCACCAGCTGCTGGAGCTGAGGCCCTGGTGGGGGAAAAGCAGCCACCACATGATGCCGGAGAGTCCAGAGCCGGTGGAGAGCCGTGACCTGCTGAGCTGCACCAGCTCGGAGCCTCTGACCCTCTGAGAGATGATGCCTTGCCCATGGCCACTGGGACCCACGGCCACTAGGACCCTGCAAACAACTCTGCTCTGTGACCAGGCCAGCATTCCTGGAGCTGGCCTGAGAGGG